TACACTGATTTCTGTGGCTTAACCTGTTTTGTTGTTGTGGTTTTTTTTTTCTTCTCCCCTCCAGAGTGTTGTCTGCACGGCAGGACTCAAGTGGTACCCTCACCCTTCCCTGATTCATTGCGTCAAGGGCTGCGAGGTGAGCGTTTGCGTTAGCTCGGGTGGTCCCTGCTTCCTCTCCTGTGTGATGGTAACAGTCACTGCCGTCACCTGGGTTGTAAGCGTGGTTTTTCAGGTGGGTCAAACAGGCTTTTGTCCTGACTGCCCTGTCAAACAGACTGTGATCTCTTGCATCAGTTCTGACACTCAGTCGTGGAATTGGTGGTCTTCCACTGAGCCGATGGTTGGGTGATTCTGACAGGAGTTAAATGATGAAGAGGCTCAACAACATTGGTAGACCGTCAGAATTTCCCAGGATCTGGGAATTTCTGGGAAGTTGCAAAAACCTTCATTTTTCTTCTCTTGATTTTGACATTTATTAGAGGGCCAATTTTGTCCAAGGCCAGCTAAGGCTTTGGGTTTTGGAGTAGGCAGACAAATTTTAGGAAAGCTAGAGGAAGAAAGGATACCACTGGGTGTGCAGCACAGCTGGACAATGAGCAAATCACACTTCCACCTGCTGTGTACCTCCATCTGAAGCAGGAAAAAAAATCTGAAAAATGCAGTTACATTGTAGCTGTGATACGTTTTTAGAGTCTTTTGTGTTATTTGAAAAAAATGATTATTTAATTTCTGCTGGCAACAGCCTTTGAGAAGTCTGAGAAGTCTTAAGATGCTTCCAGTGGTTAAACTGGGCTGGAGCACCTCTCTCTGGGTCATGGCACTCATGAGGTTTCTGTCATGCCAGCCCTTGAGAGTCTCGCCCACGTCAAGAAGTCGATCTCTGTGGCACCTTCGTAAGTCAGGGAAGCTTCATGCCCACTGAGAAATGGGGAAGCTCATGGGCAGGCGAGTAGGTGGCTGTTTGGTTACATGGACGGGCAGTGGAAGAGCTGTGTCTTGCCCCCACATCTGACTTTCTGCAGCACTGACTGCGCTCGCAGCACCCAGTAACCCAATTTTACAAGCCCATTGAAGTTATTTGCCCGAAGTGGCAGAACATGGCACAGGACTCCTAAATCTGACACAAAACTCTAGACCACATTGCTGTGCGACGTGATTTGTCTTGAAGTGAAAGACAGGTTTCCTTCGCATACAAATGTTGGGCCCAAGAGGGTAATAACTCTCCAACAATGTAATAGTTTCTGTCTAGTTGTTCCCTAAATGAAAAGCATTCTGCTGTCAGTGCTTTGAATGTCATAAGCCATCTCACGCATTACATTCATGCCGGCTGGCTAGGCGCCCCTATTCTCCAAAGAGAGCTAAAATAACATCCAGCGACCATTAAGAAATGCCATTCAGGTGCTGATGCACCATTGGGTATCCATTCTCCTGCTGTTTAAGGATAGTTGTTACTGAGGCAAACTTTGCAATGATGTAATAATTTACCAGAAGCCATTATTACTGACATGCTTTTTCTCAGCATTTTCTTCCCTTCCATCATTGTTAATTGCCAGACCCCTCTGCATCAATAGGAAGTTTCTTCTTTTCATCATTCATTCAGCAGTGTCACTGCATCGCAATCTATCATCTTGGAAGGCTTTGCCCAGACAATTGATAATGGCCTCTGGCATAATTTTTAGATGCTTCCAGGATCTACGAATGGGCCAGGGCTTGTTCTCTGCCATGAAGATTTCAGAAGAGATGCCATCTTCACCAAGCCTTTTCTCACAACTATGTAAACAGACACTAATAAGCCAGTAGGTCAATAATACTGGGCCATTAAGCTGATACAATCCTTAATGTATTAATATCCTCAGCGTTAGGGAGGGTTCCCTGTACAGGGGGCTGTAAGTGGGGTATTATTTTCCTCTCGGCGATCAGGGTGGTAACCAGAGTGCTGCCGCAATGTGATTTTTTGTCGCTCCCTAGTGGCAGGAATAGAGGTTTATGAGTCAGCCCTGGACTTCTCAGCACCTAACTTGGGTGTTTCAGTAGAAAATTCGTCCCTCCGGACTACCTATATAGTCCTCCAGAAATACAGGAGCACTGAAATGCATGAAGACCTACAGAGCCCTCACCTTCCACAGCCAGGCCCCCAAGGGCTCCCAAACGAGGATTTGGGGACCAAATCAGAATAGATGCTATTTGTCCCATTCTTCTCCTCCAAAGACTGACTTGCCTACTCTCTACCAGTGTGAGTAGAAGTCAAATTCTTCCACAAGTCCCTTTTACTGATTTTCCCGTGTTCATAGATGTACAGTACAGGCATAGGCTTGGGAAATTAAAGGCAAACCTTTCTTGACAAGGAGGCACAGCCAGGCAATAGGAGGGAAACATGGAGAAGCCTACAAAATGTTTCAGGAGATTGGGCAAAGTTCATGTTTTTGAATACGACCAGGCTGGCATAAAAATCTCCCTCCATCTACTTATAAATCAATCCCTTTTAACTCTTAGCATATTAAATACTTTGGAAGGGCGTTTGCAAGTCATAGTCTTTGCCGGTATAAATAAGTTAATCTCTGTGGAAGTCAATGGAGTTGAGCCAGTTTGCAGGGATAGGAGCCTGACCCTGTAACTCTGATTTCCTTGTCAGCATCTGTAGTATTATTGTGTAGCTAAACAAGTGGTGCAATGAGACAGTTTCCTCCTTGTAGTCCTGCTCTGGTCCAATACTGCCATCATTGCCTGGATTTCCTATACCCTGATAGAAATCTTTAACTTGCAAGTCGTCAGCAGTAAAAGCGTGTGCCTGCACCACTCCACAGTGCCATTTCAGTAGTGATGAGCATGGCCACGGCTCGGTCTGGGGAGAGCACGGCGAGTTCCCATTGCTAGTTCTTCAGGTACCTGTCATCAGGGAGACTCTGGTACTGCAGTCGCTGCAAAATCCTCCCAGGATACTTCCACAGGCCTCCCCACCCGCTCTGCGATGATGCCTTCTTGTAGGAAAGTCCCTGGTGTGTTTTTCACAGTGCAGAATTAATGAATTTTCCAAAGAGCAGATAAAATGGGAATGGCCCCATGAGCCTGTGAGAGTAAGAAGTGTTACAGAGGTACAACTGCGCTGTCTGCTGAGCATCCATTTTTCTGAGCTTTCAGAGCTGCCTGGGTTTCTCATACCTGGTATGGACTTTTCTTAGTGTCAGGAATGAAACTGTTTGACTTCCAGGAAAGACTTTTGTACTTGCTGACCAGAAGGCTCCAACGTGTGATGAAAACCCAGACTTCCAGCCTTCTCTTCAGAACGGTGCTTACCATTCAGGTCCTGTGCAGCACACAGACTAGTGATCACATTGCACAGACTAGTGACCACAGTTTCTTTTTCAAGGGGATTTATTAATTTTACTCAATAGCTCTCAACAACATCCCTCTGGAATCATTGCCATTATCATTGGAGCTGTGGAGCAGAGGGAGATTACATGTCATAGCCGAGGTTACACACAGTCACTGCTTTTCTGAGAATGAGAGCATGTGGTCCCTGTGCTGAGCTCAGACCAATCCGTTTCTCTTTGTGATCTGTTTTGTGCACCCATTGCTGGCACCTGTTGCTCAGTTTGGAGAACTGTGGCAAGAAAGTACAGCTATTAAAAGCAAGCCAGTTTAGCTGCTATACATAACCTTATCCCACATACTTTCAGAAGGTTAGCTTAAAATTATCAAACGATGCCACAATTTTAGATGCCTTGATGCTGTCTCTGGTCCTAGTCAAATTAATATTCCTGAAGCATCATCTTATGTGGGATGTGAAAAGCCAACAAGGGCTCATTTCCCTTCCATCTAGTGTCCTTCTTTTTCTGTCTCTTTGAAGGGGGAATAATTCCCTCTTGCTTTTCAGGACAGTTGGTAATATTACAAACTGTACGGCTTCAAGGCTTCATCTCTTCCTTCTGACCTATTGTTTACAAGTTTTATCCATGTCCATGTTCTCAGTCTTTTTCTGCTCCTTCCTTTTTCAGCCTTTTATGGGGGACAACTACTGTGACTCCATCAACAACCGAGCCTTCTGCAACTATGATGGTGGGGACTGCTGTGCCTCAACAGTCAAGACCAAAAAGGTAGGGATGTCCCTGACTCTTTTGACTGGGAATTCTTTGGAGAGTGCTGTTTTGTGGCTGGAAAAAAATTATTTTTGCTAGAACAGAGGAGGTCCAAGGTTTCAGAAGGACCTTCAGCTCAGTCACTGAGTTTTGGTTGGTCTGTTTTGAAGTTCTCTCTTGATACACGTGTGCATTTCCCATCATAACCTGCCTTATACCTGTGCAAGACAGGTTCTTAAATCAAGTAACCAGAGGTGTTCATTCACTCTTACTGTAAATAGACCCCATAGGCAAAGGCTGGCTCCCTCCAAAACCATGGGGCATGGTCATCAGAAAAACTACACCTACTGCTCAGGAAACCTCCACACAGAAACGCTGAGAAGGGTAAATTTGCCTGTCCTGGTATCTATCCTCAGTGCTCAGAGGAGAAACCATAGGAGTCATTAGGAAAAGAACAGAGAGCAAAACAAAAACATCATTGTGGGTCCGTACTTTGATCTGTGTTTACCCAGTGTGCATGGCTCGCTGACCATCCCGTCTCCAAAGGGACAGAGCGGGACAGAGTGGTGTGGAGTTGGCTGGGCTGGGGTGTGAAATACCCTCTGTACAAACAGACCGCATAGACCAGGAGCTGCAAATCTTGCAAAACAGACAGTGGGCATGGTTAGTGGCAGAGATTTATAAAAACATCATTTAATCCAGGGAGGATGCTTAGGAAAACAAAATCTACTGTTTCTTATCACACAGCGATGTGGGGGGTGAAATGGTAATAACCTGGAAGCAGGATCCAAACAAGTGAAATAAAGTGCTTATTTGCACAGTGCACATTTGAACGATGGGATGCATTGCCACGGAGTATTATTAATTATACAAAAATATATTTGAAATCAGAAAGAGAATAGGCATATTCGTGGAGGTTTAGCTCCATCAGTGGCTCTTAAATGCTGTGATCTGGATGCAGTTTCTGGCTCAGGAATATCAAAACCATGGGCTGCTTGAGCCTGGGGAAGGCTCCCTCCACACATCCCCCTTTTCTTATGCTTCTTTAACACCCATTTCTGGCTACTGTTAGAGATGGGAGATGAGGGGTGGAGCTTGTGGTTTGAAGCAGTAGCAGTACAACATTTCGGATGTTTCTAACCAGGGTTGATTTTGAATTTGTTTCCCAAAGAAAGGAAAGAAAATTTTAGCCTCTGCCATGACATTTTTACCTTGTCTTCAAGATCCGAGTGTAGATCAGAATGAAGGAAGTCTAGCTATGCGAAGTATCTGAGATATATTAATAAATATATCAGAGGGAGCTTGGGCTTATGACACCACCCATTTCATCTGTCTGAGGAAGAAAGCAGAGGGCCTGGAGAGCTCTGCAGGGAACAGCCCTTTCAGAGGCTTTTGCTGGAGTTTCTTTTCTCTGGGTCTGCCAGAGATCTCTTAGCAGTACAGCACTGTGGGCTGTCTCTGGCCCATCTGGGAACACTGGGGAAGGGAAGTGGACATGTCTGGGCAAGTGGAAGGAGTTCATTTCTCCACCGGGAAAGAGGTGGGGAAAGGGGTAATTTTCCTAACTGTGCTGTTTTGGGCATTTTTTCCCCTGCATTGCTGTGTTTCTTTCGCAAGTGTCCCTGCGAGCTGCGTGCTGGGAGGGAAGCACAGGCAGGTGAGCTCCCCTGGTCCCCAAGGGTGGAGTAGGGCATGGAGAGCCCGTACAGGGCTCCCTGCTGAAACGTCCACTGCAGAGATGTGCCGGGGACAGGCTGCGGCTCATCTTCAGTGTCTTCTCAAGAAGAGATTCCTATCTCTGGCTGATTTTCCACCTCCTTGGGAGGAGCAGCCCAAGGGCAGGCACAGCTTGCTCGCTGGCCAGCTGGGAGGGCAGAGCTGGAAGTGCCCGCTAGCTCAGCGTGGCGTAGGTCTTCTCCTCCTACACCAGCTTGCCTGGGAAGCTTTATCTTGCTGCCTCCAGGCTTGAGAGCAGGCAGTGAAAAATCCCAAGAGGTGCCAGAGGAATGGGAGTGAGGTGGCTGGAAGGGGACCGACCCAAACCAGCCCCATCAAGACAGGAGCTAAGGGCACGGCATGTCTCTGGGGTGAGGTCAGGACTGAAGCACAAGGGATGTGGGTGCTGAATTGAGGGGCAGAGGGGCAGGATTAAAGTTTGGGAGCAGAATTTATTGCTGGGCAGGGATTTGAGACAGAGTGAGAGTGCACAGAGTTGTGAGCACTTAACCAGCCAGGCGAGTCACGCTCAAAATATCTGCTGCTTCGCTGCCTCCCAGAAATGAAGCGACCACCCAAGAGGGGGAAAGCACTTTGTAGCCCACTTGGTTACTGATTTCTGTACTAAAACTGCTCGATGCAAAGGGCAGGTGGTTCAGAGACTGGCAGCTGGTCACGTCTGATATGTTTCACCCATGGAGATGGAGCTTTTTGGCAGCAACTCTGCTTCCACTGACTTCACGGGGAGCTGTATCTTCATGACCAGCAGAAGTAGACTTGCCCTAGTTTATGCTTTAGAAACCCCTGTCCTAGGGATCACACAGTTTCAGGGCCGAACCACAGAGCTCATTGCTTCCTCAGCATTCAGCTTCCAAAATCTTCTCCTCTTTCCCAAAACACCACCAACATCCCAGGAGCTGAATAAGGGGCTCAGGAGGAGTGAGAAACCCACCTCTCCTTGGACCTTCCATGCCAAAAGCAAGATGCTAAGTCCCAGTTTATTACTTTTATAGGGTAAAGAGGGGAATAATAACTCAGGCGGTGGTCTGAAGCCTTTGACTGGGACCAGATTGCAGGCAAGGCTGTTCAAATACAGCCCTCCCTTTGAAGAGGTTTATGAGTGGAGCGTTACAGGAGATATTCCAAAGGGAAAAACAATGAAAGGTGAGAGAAAAGGGAGCTGAATAAAAATACTCCGCATTCCAAATCCTTCCAGCACAGTTTGCCACCTACTTAAAAAGGCACAGTGAAGCCTTTGACTGGGACCAGATTGCAGGCAAGGCTGTTCAAATACAGCCCTCCCTTTGAAGAGGTTTATGAGTGGAGCGTTACAGGAGATATTCCAAAGGGAAAAACAATGAAAGGTGAGAGAAAAGGGAGCTGAATAAAAATACTCCGCATTCCAAATCCTTCCAGCACAGTTTGCCACCTACTTAAAAAGGCACAGTTTTAAAATACACATTGGGTGTAAAAGCCAAAAACCTGGAGGATACATAGGGAGGGGCGAGTCCAGCTCTGTTAATTCCAATACCAGATGAGGATGTATTTTCGTAGGGTTGCAGAAAGAGCAAGACACATGAAAGAGACTGCTTTGCTCCTTTTCTTTCAGGGTTACATACTATGTGGCAGATGTGTCAGTCCTTTAAAGCCCCTGCAAGTTTACCCATAAATGTCTAACATTTATGCAACACCTGTTTTTCTCCCAAAAAGTCACAGGACATTTTACAAGCTTTAGATTTATCATCTTTTCACCGTTGCAGCCATTGCTGAGGTGACACATGGTTCACATTTAACAGAACATAGCAACTCCGCACATTATTTTAGGAAAGGGCTGAAGATTAACATTGCATCATGTGAAGATTCAGGAGTTAACAGTCAAGTAAGAGCTGGCTTCAGATCTTTAATGTCCGCAAACTGTCAAGACTTAAGTTTCACTGCGATCCCACTACCCTCCCAAAAGCACTTTCAGCTGCACAGAGCGCTGTGAACCGGGCTGCGTGAAAGCAAAATTATTCAACCCATATTCACTTTCAGCTCACTTAACGTGACGTTTTGCACACCTCTGTTTTGTTGCCCTGAAAAAGCACGAGAGGCTTCCACAGCGTGTTGGCTTAGGCCAGGTTTTCCCTTTGCGTCTGAGCATTAGCAGCAAATGACCTTGTGCGTTTCTGCAGCGAGGGGGGAACGGAGCGGTGTGACTTATCTGACCAACCGCCGACTAATCAGCGCTGCTGCTTAGATAGGAAATAATGAGTATTTGCCCTGCGCTATTCACAATCAGGCGAGAGAGCTTAAAAGAAATCATTAAAGACCTCTTTTGAATGCTACAAATGGCAATGAATAAATTCTGTCATACTCTGGGCATAAATTTGAGGCACCTGCAGTCAGCGAGCGGGAAAGAGAGACATTCATCAGCTGCGTTATTTGTTGTGCGCTAATTGATCAGCATGCCCCTGCTGCAGGCGAGAGGCTAGGGCTGGCACAGGGCTGCGTGCCACCCAAGGAAGCAGGGACGCGTCTGCCAGTGCCCCCCGGGCTGCTGGGCTGGGGGTGAGCAGGGTTTGGAGCTGGGGCCACACTGCTCGCAGCTTGCCCTGTGCATGACCCAGGAGCCGCTTTCAGAGACAGGAAGGCCATTGCCGGCCAGCCTCCAAGGGAGAGAAAGCTTCTGTTGTGTATCTGGAGGGGATAAAGTCTTCCGTGAAGGACAAAGCAAAATCCCATCTCCTTTTAATCTTCCTACCCTCCTGACCCAGCACAGGTTGCCAGCTCCCTTCTGCCTGGCTGCTCTAGGAAGTTGCTTCTTGCTTTGTATCCTGCTGCAGATAAAAGAAGATACTATTTTTTTAAAACCTTAAATACATGACACTGCTAAAGTGAGAAAAATAAATAACCTGGGCCCAACTGGCTGTCTGAGGGCTGGCGGCTGCCTGCGAGGAACTCCTGGGGCGCGCAGCATTGCAGAGAGAGAGGCTACGGCTGTAGTGTTTCAGGAAATATTCACTCCAGTCTCTGTTCTCCTTCACTCCTTTTCTCTCCCCCTTTCCTTTTACAAGTTTTCCCTGAACAAGGCTGTCTAGAAAGGCAGAAATCAGAAATGTCTCTCTTTAGGCTCTGCTTATGTACCTTGTTCCAGCCTAGGGTCGCAGGTTTGCTTAGTTGAAGATCCTGCAGTCTGGTCCCTGCAGATTTAAACACACAGAATTCACTGCTTTAAAATTCCCCCAACCTAAACCATTTGAAAGGACAAACTTTCATCTGTCTTTCCGTTTCATCGCATAAGGGGTAAACCTGCAGCTCCC